ATGCAGTTGTACTAAAACGAAAAAAATAATTGTATGCAAGGTTCAAATAATTTCGAAAGCTTGTAGCGCAAACAGAATAATTATAAGGGGAATAAAATCCATGCGCGATACAAGCTTTCGAAATTATTTGAACCTTGCATACAATTATTTTTTTCGTTTTAGTACAACTGCATATCAGAATTAAAGCTTGTTTTTAAAAAAGTTTTTTTTAAATTTACTAATTCGCCAAAATTGAATTTTTTGCTAATCGATGTGTAATGGCTTGAAATGAATAGTTATTGTTAAAAAATATTTTTTTACTATTTATATTGACATATTATACCCATAAAAAAAACTGTCAGCCACCCGTGCCTGACGCGGCCCGAATGGTATAAATTTCAGTCACAGCGCCATGTCAAGCATTTTGTCAGGCACAACAAAATCACGTTTCTGCGTTTTGGCGGGAACTACCGTGTCGCATCGCTTTTCTCGCTTTAGCCCTCGTGAATACTATCGCTCTGTCCGGTTGCTGTCGGTCAACTGTCAAATTTCGGTCGTGTAAAGTCGAGAAAGACAGCAAGTTATAACTTACTCTCTTCAAAGCCCTAATCAGCCTAATTTTTGTCTATAATGTTTCAATTTTTTACACAAATAATAATTTTAATAATTATGCTTAATAAATTATTCCGAAATATATCGTAAACTTGTGATTTTATTAAGAATTTCAAATATTTGTCGTGTTTTTACTAAAATTTTCATTCAAACCTGTGTTAATTTTTATTTAGGTACAAGAGTTGCAGGCCATGCTGAACATACTTTGTTGGGGGCCACGTCAGTCATTTAAAATAGGAAGTAACGCATTAAACGTGCCAGGCGGCCTACTGCGGTCGTTTGATTTAGATGCTTCAGTGTCAGGCTCCAGTGACTGACATGGCCCGAATAGGTTGCATGTTTGTCAGTCACCGGTGACTGTCATGGCCGCCTACGTGTTAAGTGCTCTACACCTAAACACGACTACGAGATCGTAGCTACGAACTCTCGTAGCAGTGTGTCGGCCAATCGGTTATTCCGTTACCGTTAGGTGCGTACTTTCGGTTCCAATGCACGGAACTACGACACAAGTGGTCCCGGAAGTAATGACGACATCGACTGTACCGGATTGGTTTCGCATGTTTGATGCCATGAATTATGATTGAGATGGTGATCGAATTCTCTAAAAGCCATGATTGGGTTTACTTTAATAAGTAGGTATGTAGGTACTATGTAATATTAATTTTCAGGTCCCTCATAAACTGAAAAACAACTGTTAGTTTGGCCCTAAGGTTGACTGGAAGAGAATGCCAACTGGCATTAAGTCCGCCTTTTGTACAGTGTTATGTGCATGTAAGTTCTAAATTAATAAATCATATTTTCTTGTATTATAGTTATTGCAATATATAGTTGTTGCAATTCACGAAGGCGAGTGAGCTTTACATGTTTGGTGGCTTGCTACTGTTCGTTTTTTAATAAAAGTTTTGATAGACATTCCACTATCGTTATGTGCATGTACACGTACACACACAAGTAAAGCTCACTCGCCTTTGTGAGTTGCAAGAACTATACACCAACATTAATATTTAATTTTGACTTCTTAGGTATAAAAGATCTCTTAACTATCCTGAAATCACGCAGGTATAAAACTAATATCACACCTGGGATGGTATTTTGGTCAATCTATAATTTGTGTGGGCGACACTCGGCTGTATTTCCATTAATCAATAATTAATCATTTTGCCGCATTACTGCTCCGTTTTGCTTGCACGGATGTTTAAATAACAACATTGGGAATTCGACAAATAACGGGACGTATAAAGAAGAATATTAATCATAATTTTCCGCTTATTTGAATCCACCGAACATATCCGTGGAGTAACGAGGGACACAATCCAGTGGATTATAAAGCTTAAATTGCCATAAGCAGGCGAATGGTTCGAATATCCGACAGCCGATGGCAGTACGCTCTCGATTATGTATTACATCCCAACTAATATTATAAATGCGAAAGTAACTCTGTCTGTCTGTCTGTCTGTCTGTCTGTCTGTCTGTCTGTTACGCTTTCCCGCTTAAACCTCGCAACCGATTTTGATGAAATTTGGCATAGAGATAGTTTGAGTCCCGGGAAAGAACAAAGGATAGTTTTTATCCCGGTTTTTGAAACAGGGACGCGCGCGATAAAGTTTTTCTGTGACAGACAAAATTCCACGCGGGCGAAGCCGCGGGCGGAAAGCTAGTTATCAATATAATCACAGTAAAGTGGCCTCTTTCTAGGACCAACACATAGATTAATTAATCTACTATATCGCATTAGGGTAACCTACGAGTATAATGTTAGAGATATGATTCGTTTCGTTTCGTTCCAGCCGCAAGACGTCCACTGCTGGACAAAGGCCTCCCCCAAGGATTTCCACAAAGACCGGTCCTGCGCCGCTCGCATCCAGGTACCTCCCACGACCTTCACCAGATCGTCGGTCCACCTAGTGGGAGGCCTGCCCACGCTACGTCTTCCGGCTCGTGGTCGCCACTCAAGAACTTTCCTGCCCCAGAGATATGATTGTTGTTAATTAAATAAATAAATAAAGATATATATATACATTTTTAGCTCGCGAGTTTCTGGTATAAGTTAAAAAAATCTCTTCAGTAGCTTTTGCGTGATAAGGAAAGAAAGTTGTAAGTGCTTATTTGATTACATAGAGACTTCACAAAACGTTCCCAGGTCTGTTATAGTACCAGATTTTGCTATTTGGGTTGTACTATTATTATCAATCGTAGACAAAACAAAAGCTACATTAATGCAGTCATCATCATCCCAGACAGTAAAACTAAGATGAATTGTTTAATACACAATACAAATTCATAGCTGTCTTGACTGAAAAGACTGCAAAATGATGCAAGACTTTAGACTACGAATAATTTACAGAATGACTGTGACAATGTGCATTAAGCACACACCATTGAGTTAGAACAACGATTGCAGCGATATAATGAAAAGTCACGATTGACCCGCGCACTCGGGTATCACAAAAGGGCTTGATCACCATTAGTAGAGTGCGAAGGCAAGTACCTACAATAATGCACGGGATGACAGGGTTGTCAATACTACATTTTTTTCTATTTAAGATGTTGAAAGTAATGTCATGACGGAAGTTGAAGGTGCTGGCTGAACCCAAGAATGAGTGGAAATTGCTCCACCGATAAGAGAAAATGATTTATGGAGTAAAATTATGAATGAATGATGAAAAAATGCATTACTCATTACCACTAAGAACTTTTTTCATCGTTTCGACGTCTGTCTTCCATTATCATATAACTTTTTATGCAAAATAGAAAATGTATATGTTAGGCAGAATTTCATTTAACTACTTTATAGCTTAGCAGCCAGCAGTTCTACAAGAAGTGTTAACTAAGTTCGTGTTTCCCCATTAAAACATTCCACTTAGTTTACAAAACGGTTCGCCTCTAATAATATGAAAAACACGACAACCCTACAAAGAGTGAGAATTTTAAAACGAATTTTCACACGTGGCGAGCATTTTTTCAGTTGACCTAGTAAACTTCCCAGTAATGCTGAACAAAGCTGAATTTATGACTTTCCATTAGAATCTCTCCTATAAACTAACCTGTTGATGCTCTAATGCATTTTTAATATTAGTATAGNTAGTATATAAATTTTCTGCTTGCTCATAAGCATGAAGTGTATTTCCTTATTATACACTAGCTTTTGCCCGCGGCCTCACCCGCGTGAAATTTAGTTTCTGGGCTATAAACAATAATACTGTAAAGTTTTCATCAAAACCGTTCAGTAGTTTTTGCGTGAAAGAGTAGGTAACAAACATCCAGACATCCAAACTTTCCCATTTATAATATTAGTAGGATCATCGTCGTCTGGTCATTTAGTCTCCACTGCAGGAAGAACGTCTCTTTCTAATTCTAACTCCTCACGCTAGGCAGACGGGTTAGGCACCAGCTGGGTTTGGATCTTATCGACGATTTTAGACGACAAATGTATGGGCTTATCGCGTAAAATCGATAAAATGGCGCGATAACAATAATAATAATAATAATTAATNCCCTAATGCTTTCCATGTTGATCGATTGGTAGCAGCCTGCGTCCAGCGCTTCCCTGCTACCTTTACGATGTTATTATGACAAGAATATTATTATTATCATTTTTAGAATATATTTTGCGTCTGTCTAGAAATTGAATGAAGCCGTTCGGGATGACTAAATAATACAATTTTATTATTAAAAGACAATGAATTTTAATTTTAAATCAAATCAAATCAATAGATTTATTTCAGACACTATAGTCCATACAATAAGGTTAAAGATAATTATTTACTAAACGGTAATTTTCTTTGTATCATTACGATAACTTACAAATAACTTACAAGCTGTTTAAACAAAAGTTTGTAGATAAGAGTATCACATAAAACCAAAAACTGATTCTAGAGATATTGGTACAAAGTGTAGTTAATATTTATGAAATTAACTATCAAATAAATAAAGGCAGCAAGGTTCTGGAATGGAGGCCACGTACCAGAAAACGCAGCGTGGGACGTCCACCCACAAGGTGGACCGATGACCTGATAAAGGTAGCGGGAAGGCGCTGGATGCAGGCCGCTACCAACCGTGCGATGTGGAAGTCATTGGGGGAGGCCTATGTTCAGCAGTGGACGTCCTGTGGCTGAAATGATGAAATAAAGGAAATAATTACCGAAACATTTACCTGTAACTATCTTCAGTTAGCTTTCTATATCTTTTTTTTGTACGCTTATTTTGAAGTCCGACACATAATGACGTTTATCGCAATGCAGCACCAAATCCTTTCTGTTGTGGAAACTCCTTTCGCAATACGGGCATTTGTGCCGCCTCATCCCCGAGTGCACAGACAGATGCACTCTCAATTGCACCGTCGTCGCAAACTCTTTGGGGCAAATTGTGCACTTGTGCGACATATAGTGTCGTTTACATTTATGATATTAGTATCAAATAAATAGAGCAAAAAAATACTGAAACAATTAACTGTAACTATCTATGTTAGCTTTCTACATCTTTCATCTCGCCGCTTATTTGGAAGTCCGACACATAATGACGTTTATCGCAATGCAGCACCAAATCCTTTCGGTTGTGGAAACTCCTTTCGCAATACGGGCATTTGTGCCGCCTCATCCCCGAGTGCACAGACAGATGCACTCTTAATTGCGGCGTCGTCGCAAACTCTTTGGGGCAAATTGTGCACTTGTGCGGCATGAACCCGCTGTGTTTGCGCATATGGATCGTCAACTGGTTTTTAACTTTGTAAGAAGCGTCGCAAATTTCGCATTTGTACGGCCTATCGTCGAAATGCCAAGCCATGTGCCTCTTCAAATGGAAAGGTGTGAAGAACAACTTGGAGCAGACGTGGCATTGGTGCGATTTTTGCTTGGACAATTTGACCATGTGTAAGTCGACGTGCTTCTGGTTTCTGAACACTTTGTTACAGTGTGCACACGTGGCTTGAACTGTGTCGTGCATGGTCTCTTGGTGGAGCTGCGATAGAGAAAGTTAATCATAAAGACAATGCCGGAAATTGGCGTCTTTTTTTTTTCGCGCGGCCATCGACCAAACCTTGTTTTTTGATTACAAAATAGTATAATAAACCAAACTTACTACGACATGTATACCTCTAAACTCAGTCTGAACTGAGTTACGAGCGTTAGAAGTTTGATGATTTACATACTAGATTTGCTTTTTGCGCGCAAGTTTTGTAATAAATTGCAACAAAATAGTGACATTGTATGTTTAAACAAACAATACCATCCATTAAAGGCTCCAGGCATCAGTGTGGAGCAGAATCAGCGCAATAAAAAAATAGCGCAATATTTTGTTGCAATTTCTTACAAAACTTTCGCGCAAAAAGCAAATCTAGTATGTAAATCATCAAACTTCTAACGCTCGTAACTCAGTTCAGACTGAGTTTAGAGGTATACATGTCATAGTAAGTTTGGTTTATTACACTATTTTGTAATCAAAAAACAAAGTTTGGTCGATGGCCGCGCGAAAAAAAAAAGACGCCACCTTCCATACAAAATCTGGCATTGCCATTTGGTGCCTTTTATGAAAATTATCAACTTAGGTACAGTATGTCTAGGCTATAGGTAACCAATAATTGAATTTTTATGAAGTAATTCACTTTTAAGATCGGTTCATACTTAATATCCGCATGAATCACTCATTAATATTTACTATAAATATTACTCTGCGTATAATGCGTTATGCTATAGTCAGATAAAAATAATCAACCCAATTATACAAATTTTAAACCTTCTGTCTGAACGTACCTTAAGGGCTCTAGCCCGTTTAAATCCTTTTCCACAAACATCGCAAATATAGGCATTTTCATTACCAATATCTTGCAAATGAGTTATTATCGTAGCCCTATATAAGAATCTGGAACAAACGTATCAAAATTAATCAATATTCGCTTTCAAGGCAGGGGAGAGATAAGCAGTAATGAAGTTTAAAAATAAAAACTTGAACTTTTTTATACGCAATATTTTTAATTTTTAGTTTTTTTTGTGTTCACGCATTTGAAGTCGGATTTATTTTTTTAAAAGTTAATTATGACTGGTAAAATCCGTTAAAACTTCAGGGTTGCATCATTGCATGTGTTGGCGTAACCCATGCAAAGATGCAACCCTGAAGATTATCACCACTATCACTCACTCCTACACTGACTACCAGAGGTAGGTACTGCCCGTCAGTGTAGGAGTGAGTGATAGTGGTGATAATAATAGTACTTTTTATGAACTTTCCAGGAAAACTATAACGGTTAAGATAGATAGAACAGTTTGTTTAAGAGTAATAGTAGTTTAAGCAGAGTAAATACAAATGATTAGGTCATCTTCATAGAAACGCCCGAGCTGGTTTAAGGTTTAAGTCACATGTATTATAAATTTTCATACCTACTAAAAATTCCTTAGAAGAAAATATTAAAAGTGACTTTAGATGAAGTAATTTCTTGCTTCTGTAATATAATTTGTGTTAACACGGACTACTACGGAACCCTACACTGCGCGTGGCACGACACGCAGTTGTTTAAATAAAAATCCCTGACTTAAATCAATTCCTAAAATGGATTAGTGAAACGCTGGGAGTGCATATTAATCAACTGTAATGTTCGATAGCAATGTTAATATTAGGTGTTAAAGTATTAAATCGCCGTTTGAATTTAGAACTAAAAAAAATATTTTTCTGCAAAATCTAATAAAAAAAAATATTTTAAATTTTCAGACAAAATAAATTTTATAAAATCCGATTTGTATGAAAATTAAAATAATTAAAACGAAGATATCAATTTTCTGACTTCACCATACCATTTATATGCCCATGTTAACATGAGCTAGTGTCGACTCATATACCCATTTACCTAACACCCTGTATATAAATAAAAATAATCACGATTTAAAAAAAATCTGATTTCTTGATTAAAATAAAAAATCATGTTTTTTTTTCCGACCCCGGTTTAAAGTGATAATGGCATCGACCAAAACCACTTAACTGATTTTTGCAGTCAAAAGTTGTTTCGACCGATTATGAGTTTTGACTGTAAAATATTATTTTACTTACGTTTTCCCACAGTGATCACAGATGTATTTTGAAGATCTGTGGTGTCTCTCATGGTCCCTCCACTTTATGTATGTGCGGAATTCCTTATTGCAATAAGAACACCAACCACCGTTCGTTTTGTTCAGGTGCACTGTCCTGTAGTGAAACTGGAGAACTAGGAGAGCACAATGCAATTTGCCACATAAGTGGCAAATATACGATCTAGGACCATCTTTTCGCTGGTGACTAAATCTAAAACAAACTTGCTTATTAGTGATTATAAATAACCACAAATTAACCATAATGCAATTTAAACAATTACTCGTAGTACACGTCTTGGGGGGCACCAAAAATTACTAGCTTTAAGAAAAAATATCAGCGAATTTAATTCCAGTGCGGGCACGGATTTCTTAGGGCAGTGTTTTTCAACCTTTTTCAGAACACGACCCCTTAGTATGAAAAAATATTTTGCGACACCCCGACCGTTCGCTTTTCTTTTTCGTGCATTTTATAATGTTATAAAGATGTTGTAGGGACCGAATTCTTCAATCCATACATTTGTGTACATTTACATAGTTAGATTTCGGAATCTATCTTTAAAACTTCACTGTTTTTTTTACTGAGGTAATTTTTACGACCTCTCGCGACCCCTTTATAGAGGATTCTTTTCGCCGCTACGAAGAATTAAAGACTAACAATATTTATCGCATGAAACGCACTCAAAAACACCAAAAATGTAGGTACTTAGATTATGTGTATAAAGTATGGCAAATGCATCATTTCTCATGTCAGAAACATTTTTAATCGACTCAACCCCTTTTGTTTCCATAACATGTCTCCTGGGTTCCATCTCTATGCCAAAATTCATTCAGTGAAAAATGTGACTTAGATTAACACTCGATATTTTAACTAAAGAGCCTCTTTATTATTACGTACCATCTATCTCTATGCCAAAATTCATTCAGTGAAAAATGTGACTTACATTAACACTCGATATTTTAACTTAAGAGCCTCTTTATTATTACGTACCATCTATCTCTATGCCAAAATTCATTCAGTGAAAAATGTGACTTAGATTAACACTCGATATTTTAACTTAAGAGCCTCTTTATTATTTAGCTTAGGTGGCAGAGGCAAACAAAGGGTTCGATTCGCGCCTTAGGCAATTCGATTATTTCATATTACTTAAAAAAAGGTGACGAACACTCATAACCACACACCACCAGCTGGAATTCGCTGCCTGCTGCTGTATTTCCTGAACACTATAATCCGGGCGTTTTCAAGGCGAGAGTGAATAGGCACTTACAGGGCAGATATGTACCATCCTAGACTGCATCTCACTTAACACCAGGTGCGATTGCGGTCAAATACCTGCCTTGTCTAGCATAAAAATAAAAAAAAAACACAGGCATTTTAGCTAGTTTTTTATACCTGTGCGTCTCCATATCAGCAAAATCTCTGCCAACGTAATCACACAAGCCGCAAGATAAATCATCCTTGGTGCTATGTTCATTTATATGTTTATTTAGTGATTCAGAATCTGGACACCACGTTTCGCATAATCCTGAAATAAATTATATGGATAATTTCCCGTATTTTACCAAATTGACGAAACATACAAGCCANGCGACCCCTTTATAGAGGATTCTTTCCGTGGCTACGCAGAATTAAAGACTAACAATATTTAACGCATGAAACGCACTCAAAAACACCAAAAATGTAGGTACTTAGATAGGGGGCGTCCATTAATTACGTGAGACTTTTAGGGGTGGGGGAGGGGGTCCAGAAAATCCTCACTTAATCTCATGTGGGGGAAAGGGGGGGTGTAGAGAAATATTACGTAATTTTTTTCCACAACAAACAGAGTAAATTCTCCGTCTGCATTTGTGAACACAGGCCCAGTTTTTAAATCCGCAGTTTGCTACCAATGCTTAAATATTAACAAAATGTAAACTAATAATTAAAAATTGTACTAAAAGTAAAAAACTGGGCCTAAGTTGTTTTGTTTTATCATTTCACTTAATTTTTTTACGCAGGTCGGGTTTTTTTTATAAAATCTAATATTTTCGAAGCATGGATTATGTTATTTACATTGCAAATAGGCATTTTGGAAAATTAATGGACGCCCCCTAACGTGTATAAAGTATGGGGAATGCATCATTTCTCATGTCAGAAACATTTTTAATTGACTCAACCCCTTTTGTTTCCATAACATATCCCCTGGGTTCCATCTGTCTCTATGCCAAAATTGATTCAGTGAAAAATATGACTTAGATTAACACTCGATATTTTAACTTAAGAGCCTCTTTATTATTACGTAGGTGGCAGAGGCAAACGAAGGGTTCGATTCGCGCCTCAGGCAATTCGATTATTTCATGTTACTGAAAGGTAACGAACACTCATAACACAGGCATATTTAGCTTGTTTTTTATACCTGTGCGTCTCCATATCAGCGAAATCTCTTCCAATGTAATCACACAAGCCGCAAGATAAATCATCTTTGGTGCTATGTTCATTTATATGTTTATTTAGTGATTCAGAATCTGGACACCACGTTTCGCATAATCCTGAAATAAATTATATGGATAATTTTCCGCATTTTATCAAATTGACGACGCATACAAGCCATGAATTGTGGTGTCTTCATCATCATCATGATTTTAGCCATAGGACGTCCACTGCGCATCATCTATTTTAATCACATACAAGGTAAAATCTCGGTGACATAGCCCGACGGATTAGCAAGCTGAAGTAGCAATCGGCAGGGCACATAGTATGTAGAACTGATATCCGATGGGGCAGCATAGTTCTGGAGTGGAGGCCGCGTACCGGAAAACGCAGCGATGGGATGACTACCCACAAGGTAGACCGACGACATCGTAAAGTTAGAAAGAAGGCGCTGGAGGCAGATCGCTACCAACCGGGCAAAATGGAAAGCATTGGGGGAGGCCTATGTTCAGCAGTGGACATCCTACGGCTGATGTGATGAAGATGATGAAGGTAATATCTAATAAAAAAACTGTTTTAACCGACTCAAATGAAGCCACAGGCAAAAGCTAGTAAATTACAACTTACCACAATATAACTCTTTTTGTTCCACTTTTTTCGGTACTGGTACATCTTTGCAATCAGGTTTCTTCAAATGCTTCTTATAGAATTTCAACCGTTCTGAAAATGTAAAAATTTAAACTACTTTGTTCCACCCATAACACTCAATTTTAATTGTATGTACTGAAAATATATTTTTATAGACAAGCAACTCGCCTTGTTTGCCAACATTGCGGGTACTATGTAGTATATTGTGTATGCTGCATGTAAAACTTGTAACAGAAACACGTTAGTTATTAGTACCTACCTACTTACAAACGTATTTTCACTTAAAATACATGTTTCTGTAACAAGCTCTATTGCGAGTAGTAAATGTAAAAAAAAAGTTTTTTTTTCTTGTAACCTAAAATGGCTTTAAATTCAATTAACAATAGATTAGTCTCAAAGAAATTATATCTGTTAAAATAATTAAATAGTGTGTTTAACTCACTGTACTGCATGTTACATTTTGGACACGTATACACTTTATTTTTTTTATCGTCATTTTTGATTTCTTCCAAATTGTTCGTTTCTTCCAAAATTTCAAATTTCTCAAATTCTGTAAGGTCAAAGTCACTATCCGTTTCCGACTGAACCCCATTAGCAGGGTTTTCTTCTTCCAAAATTTCAAATTTCTCAAGTTCTGTAAGGTCATAGTCACTATCCGTTTCCGACTGAACCCCATTAGCAGGTTTTTCTTCTTTCTTTACTATTAAAATTTCACATGATTCCTTGTCATCTTCAGGCCAAACATCACTATCAGAAGAAATTAAATTTACTTCCTCACATTCTTCTTGTATAGGTAATAAGCTAGATTTGTTCTCAACATCTTGTTGACAATTCTCTATCTAAAATAATAATTTAAATGATTTTACTAGTGGGTGCATTTATGGCAAGTTGATGTTATGTAATACATTCAAAAACAAAAACCCAACTGCGTAAAAATGAACTAAAAAGATAAAAACAAGCCTTTCAGTTTTAAAGACAAAAATTTTTTTTAATATTCAGACAATAATATATTTTTATAGCAAGTGCTGGTAGTTTCTCACTAATGTCTGCAAGCAAACTTGTAGTCTCCGTACTTTTGGTATTGGCACCTTTTTGCTTGTCCGATTAAAAGTCCACGGATAAAAAAAATAGGCAGGGTTGCATTTAATTTTTATTGCATGATTTTTTAAATAAAAATCACTGATTTAAATCAATGTCCGAAAATGGAATTAATGAAACACTGGGAGTGCATTTTAATCAACTGTAATGTTTGAAAATAATGTTAATATTAGGAGTTGAAGTATGAAATTGCTGTATATCTAAACATTTTTGCGAAAATTATAACTTGTCAAAAGATATTCGCATATTTTTAATGGAAACGGACAGAACTTAATAGGACAACCTGTTTTTGACGAATAGTTTTTTTTTGTTTCAGTAAAAATATAACATACCATCATCTTTGCATACATGATTTACTTTTTCTGTGGTGTTCCCAGCACTTTACATCAAAGAAAATAGGTGATTGAGCTTACCACACTCCCTGGTGTAATATTAGCTATTGTTTTCCACAATTTATCAGATTTTTGGGCTTGTAGTTTGAATGTGTTAAAATCTTTCATTTTACCAGCACAAGAATTACATAGTATCCGGGGTACATCCTCGGTAGATATCTAAAACAAATTATTAAATTAGATTGTAACAAAACAGACTATCATGGTTTATTATATTATCATGCATGAATATTTTTAGATATTGAATACCTACTTACTGTATTGTTTGATGAAAAGTCTACTTGGAAAGAAAACTGTCTCTATGTCATTTGTGAGTAAAGTAAGGTAGGTAAGTTTAAGTCATTCATCAATAGTAACACACATAAATAACCCAAAATTGGATACCATGAATTAAGTTCACAAGTTAAGGTAATCATTAAAAACAAAAGAAAATATTTTTGCACTTGATACTGTCATTATTGCAAATACTATACTTTAAGAAGAAGCACCCATATTTAGTAGATGCACAATGTATACGCCATGCCCATCTTACACACTAAATCTCGCAGAGAATAATATGGTACATTTGTAATGTATTCTGCTTTATTTTACACACTTTTGAGAGTATTGTAATTAATTGTTTTCATTTGTTAGAATAAGAAGAATACCCATATAAAAAGTTATTACACAAATCTATAAGAATTTGAAGGTTATTTATTATAACCTAAATTACTTGAACTCACAATTTCAAATATCAGTAACTTCTTGACGAACGAGCTAAGTATTTTAGTGATACACACTAAAATAGTATTTTTTTTATCCTACACCTAAATAATGTGAAAAATTACTTACAGTCAAACCAAAACAAAACTCGTACATTGCTAGCCATCCTCCACTATCGTCAAAGGTCACAAATTTTGAATACTTTGAGTCTTTAACCAGACAGATACGACAAGATTTATAAGGAAAATAATCTTTTGGCATTGCAGCTTCTTTTTAATCTAAGTAATTTAATAATAAACAAACATCCGGACCAACACAAAACAACCAACAACATTCGTTCGTAATTTTTTTGACAATTTGATTGTTTGACAATGACAGTGACAATTTGACTTTTTTTAAGGAAAAAGCAAAGGCATTATGCCATACAGTCTTCAGTTTTTTTATTATTATTAACCTATTTAAGCTTATAGGTTTGTTTTTGTACAAATAATGCACAAAATAAAAAAAGCATTTGTATGTATTTTTATTATTTTTATTAATTAAATAATGTGATTAGCCAATATCTCACTGGAAAGGAAAGGATAATGATTTTAATGTATGATATTATTACGGAACTATTCCCACCTCTCTTTGACCCACGATCAGCGGAAGGTCGCGGGAAGAACGTGGATGCGGGCACAGATAAGACAGATGCGGGCAGCGCAGGATCCTTGGAGGAGGCCTTAGTCCAGCGGTGGACGTCATTTGGCTGAAAATAACGAACGTCGCGTGGCGCTTTGCTAAGACTTCACACGGACTTCTTCTTACTAATATTATAAATGTGAAAGTTTGTGTGGATGTCTGGATGTTTGTTACTCTTTCACGCAAAAACTACTGAATAGATTTTGATAAAACTTTACAGTATTATTGTATAAAGACCAGAATAACATAAACGCTATTTATGACGATCTGTACTACTTTGCCTGGCCCATTCCCATTTTATTTGGGGTCGGCCCTCCGCGTCATGCGTCTCCAGGCGGCTCGGTCCTGGGTTGTCTTACTGTTAACTTGGGCTTCTTTGAGGTCGTTATTGATTACAGACATCCATGTAATTCGGGGTCTTCCTCGTCCGCGGGGCTTAGTTTGGATGTCTAGCACTTTTCTGGTCATATGGTCGGGTGGTCGCCTCATGACGTGTCCGTACCACCGCAAACGGCTCTCCTGCAATTTAGCTGGGATAGGTCTCACTTTAAAGGTGCCTCTTATGTGTGTGTTTCTTACATGGTCCAGCCTAGTTACACCACCTGCCCATCTGAGCATCTTCATCTCAGCGCAGTGCAATTGGTTTTCGTACTGCTTTTTGAGCGGCCAGCATTCGGATCCGTATGTCATGGCTGGTCTGACGGCTGCTCTGTATACTCGTCCCTTTATGCGCACGGGCATTCGGGTATCGCATAGCACGCCGGATAGTTCTCTCCATTTCATCCACCCAGTATTTATGCGATGGGTGACATCAGTGTCTATCGACCCATCTTTACTGATGACTGACCCTAGGTATTTGAAATGGTCCACTTCTTTTAGCTGGGTGTTCTGCAGACAGATGGTGTGTTTGCTGTTGACGCCACTAAAGTTGCAGTGCATGTACTCGGTCTTCTCTCTGCTTATTCGCAGACCAGATGTTTCCAGAGCTTCCCTCCACTTTTCTAAAATCTGCTGTAGGTTGTTCACATCTTCACTGATCATTACGACGTCGTCCGCATATAGGATGTCCCATGGCGGCGCTCGTTGCAGATTTGAGGTGAGATGATTCATAACAACATTAAACAGCAGAGGACTGAGTGCGGAGCCTTGGTGCACCCCAACCTTCACGCCAAATTCTTTGCTTGTTCCGGCTGGACTTCGCACTTTGGTTGATACTTGGTGGTACATATCTTTGACAATCATTATGTAATGCTCGGGCACACTCTGAGCCCTTAGCGCGTGCCAGATTAATTCTCTCGGTACCCGGTCGAAAGCTTTCTCTAGGTCGATGAATATCATGTGCAAGTCTGTCTTGTTGTCTCTGTACTTTTCCATTAGTATTCTGACCGAGTGTATGGCATCAGTTGTGGATCTACCGGCGACGAATCCGCATTGGTTTTCAGTAACGCTAGTTATTTCAAGTAACCTTTTATTAATGACTCTTTCCCATATTTTGAAGGAATGCGAGATTAGCTTTATAGCTCTGTAGTTGCCGCAGAGTCTTATATCGCCTTTATTTTTATAGAAAGGGACGAGAAAGCTCTTTCGCCATTCATCGGGAATTCCATCGACCAAGAACTTGTTGAATAGTTTCGTCAGGAACAGCACGCCGATCTCTCCCATTCGCTTCCAGAATTCAGCAGGGACATCGTCAGGGCCAGAGGCTTTGTTATTTGCCATTCGTTTGATTGCTAGAGTTACCTCTTCAGGCTCTATACATGGGATAGGACCTTCTGTAGCAGGGATATCTTGTAGTGCCTCGCTAGGGAATACCTCATTTAGTAATTCTGTGTAGTATTCTTTCCAACGGTCCCTGATGTCTTCGTTTGATGTTAGCAGTTTTCCTTGCTCGTTTTTGATAAATTTGTTTGTGGCAGTATCCCTACCACTTTGGTGTTTACGTTTCGCCAGCTTGAATATTTCTTTATCGTTTGAGGCAGTCTCAAGTTTGGCATAGAAATCATCCCTGGCGGTTGCCTTGGCCTGTGCGACGGCTCGTTTTGCGATTTTCTTAGCTATTTTATAAGCCTGGTGGTCAACATCGTCTTTTGTCTGTTGCCATAGTTTGAAGAGTGTTTTCTTGGTCTCCAGTTTTTCTCTCACTTCTTCATTCCACCAGCTAGTATCTTTGTTATTATTGATGGCACCTTTAGATACACCCAGATGTTGTTTTGCTTTTTCATTACAGTATAATTGAAAATCTCTCCACATTGCGTCGGCTGTATCATCCTGCTGCTCCTGGAGATGTTGTGCAATGTCTTCACACAGTCTGAGACCTTCTTCACCCTCCAATTTATACCAACGTGTTCTTATGATTTTCTCCTTCTTGACTTTGTATGTTTTTGGTATTTTAAACTCTGCCACTAATATTCTATGTTGTGAGGTAAGAGGTTCCCCGGGTATGACTTTGCAGTCTTTGCATGTCTTTAGTTGTTTTCTATCAGCTAGAATGTAATCAATCTGAGTGCATGCCCCACCACTCTTATAGGTTATTAGATGTTCTACAGGTTTCGTGAAGAAAGTATTAATAATTGCAAGATCGTGTGCCAGTGCCATTTGAAGGATATTCTCTCCCTCCGGGTTGATTTTACCATAACCGAAGTTGCCATGTATTCTCTGGTAAGTGGTAGTTGTCTTACCAACGTGACCGTTCAAGTCGCCGCCGATGAACTTCGACTCACAGTTTGGTATCGACTGCAGCAGATCACTTATTTCTTCCCAGAAAGATTCCTTTTCCGAACTTGGGGTTCCGGACTGGGGAGCGTATGCGCTTATGATGTTCATGCACGTTTGATCGTCCAGGGCAAGTTTGATTGACATTAGTCTTTCGCTTACTCTGTTTACCTCAACTACGCGATCTTGAAAGTGTTTGTCTACTATAATGCCGATTCCATTCTGCGTCCTTGTTCCATGATAAATCAGCTTGTAATCATACCCGATGTTACGCGATTTGGACCCCTTCCATTTCGTCTCCTGGATGCAACAAATGTTGATGCGTCTTCGGTGTAATACTTCGCTGAGTTCTGAGCTGCGTCCTGTCATCGAGCCCACGTTCCAGCTCGCTATGCGCATCGTGGGTGATATCTCGGGTGCTCTGATGACATTAGCGTCGCTTCGGGGGTACGCCCTAGTATTTACTGCATTTCCATCACTGTTATCGTCGCTTGAGGGGGACGCCCTAGTATTGTTTGCCCTTTTCTTAACTGTACTTTTCATGATTTGGANTGAGGGACACAGGGTTAAGGTGAGATTCATCATCATTTCAACCACAGGACGTCCACTGATGAACATAGACTTCCCCCAATGATTTCGAGATTGTGCTTCCTGCTACCATTATGAGGTCGTCTTGTGCATGGACGTCCTACGTTGCGCTTGCTGGTACATGACCCCCACTCCAGAACCTTGCTGTCCCATCGGCCGTCAGTTCTCCGTGCTATTTCAGCTTGTTGCTAACCCCGTTGGTAAAGTAAGAAGATTCACAGAGCAAACTAAAGTTAGAGAGCCCGCTCTTTCGAACTATCCGTTTTTAAAACTAGTGGTTCACTACGCGGAGTTAGCTGCTCCCGTGCCCTCCCCCGTATTAGCGTCAGTAACTCCACCCACAAGTATAGCGTCAGTAAATCCTCACGACGGACATTAATGGCTAAGGTGAGATTCACAGAACAACTATTCTGACTATTCCCACTCCCTTCTCGTTCCCTCCGCTACAACTTCTGTATAGCCAGGATCTACAGCTTGACCGCCAATAAAAACCCATCCAGTGAATGCCAAGTTTGTCCCGGGTTTCACAGAGCAAGTAATTCACACTAATGTACAAAAACAGGCGAAATTTATTGTTTTCAAAATTTGGTTGTACCTACAAACTGTGTGAAGCTGTGTCTTCTAAATTTAATTTATGTTGTAACTACTTACCCAAATATAAATTTCACAAATAACTTTCAAAAAATAAAAAAATATTTTTCAGATGCTCGTAGCTCTTTGCACCGCAGTGAACCTCAGCACCATCTAGCTACCTACAACCACAGACCTGGCATGAATCCCTGAATACCCGACGAAAACTATTTGGCGTCATTTTTCTTGGCCCGATTTGTAAATTTAGACTAGTTATCCCACTAACTCAAATTTTAATTGTATAATGTTGCCTATTTTTAGATTAATTGTCTTTTATTTTTATATTACTGGATTTTCTGTGTTAAATGATTGGCTTATGTAGTTGGTTATATTTTATTTGTTATTGTAATTTATTAAAGTGTGAAGTGTGCTTGCTGTCGATACCTTGTTTTATTTATATCCAAAGATTATGTTCTTAGGAGACTTAGTAAAATCGAATTATGAAAGTTTTCCTAAAAATCAGATTGATGTCACAGTACTAAATGGTTTAACCACGTTTAACGTTAATCACGAAAGACAAATACTCTTTTAAAATGCGAACAGCTAGGGACTGAAATTCGCTGCCTGCTGTCTTTCCGGAACACTATAATCCGGGCCTTTTCAAAGTGAGAGTGAATAGGCACTTAACATCTACAGATATTACCATCCTAGACTGCATCTCACTTAACACCAGGTGCGATTGCGGTCAAATACCTGCCTTGTCTTGCATAAAAAAAAGTTATAGTTTCGGTTAAAGTTAGGTAGTGTAACTTAGCCTATCTTCTTAAAAGACTATAAAATATTGCGCACAATGGGGCCATTGGGCAATCAAGAGGCTAAGTGCGATTCAACTGCCCTGCAAAACTAACTAAGGAGACTAGAAATGGTATTATTCAAAGGTTTATTTGTCAAAAAACTCGTCATCAGACAACCAAGCCATCCCTCCACTTCCTCCTCGAAGGGAACAGCTTCTCGTAGATCAGGTTAACGTCAGAAGGGTGCTGGGACAACTCCGTTTCAACATGGCTCCGGCGCCCTATTGGGATGTAGTCGTAGGGAACCTTGTAGAAGAAAAACATTAATTAAATAACCGTTAGTTTTACCTACCTATTCCTGAAAAGATTTTGATAGCTTGATAAGAATTACTGTCAGTAAGCTACATTTGGTTTCACAGGACTGGGAAGGTTTTGGAATAAATTCCGTTCGATAGAAATCCAAAGAATATAATTTTATAAGAATACACGCATCTAATATTGGTGGATTGAGAAAGTCAAACACTTAGGTAGGTTACAATGAAATTAATCAGATATATTATGAGATGTGGCTAAAGGCATAGATATAATTTGAAGTAGATAACTTAATCCCGTTTTCACCATCAATCCCTAATTTTTAAGTGAGCCCTATGAACACAAAATTCCTGTTAAATGTTACCATAAGGTTCACTTAAAAATTTGGGATTGATGGTGAAAACGGGCGTAAGTCAATTTTCCGAATAGAGGTCAAGTTCACTATCAAAACAAACAATACCTAAGTAGGTCTAGTAACATAACCATTTGTTTACCTGAGGAATAGCATCAACTATCGCCACAAAAATCACAAATAGCAAAAGAAAATTCACTTTTAATCCCGCCATGTCGATGGTTGCTCTGTTATCACATAACTGTTTATAATTAAAAGCACAGCGAAAATTCCGCAATTAACTGCTTCACGGTTTGAAAATTATTAGGTATTTATCACGATGTTACTGTGGTAAAAAATTGTACGCGTGTTTCGGATTAAAACTCACTTTATCATCATCATCACTCAGCTATAAGATGTCCACTGCTGAACATAGACCTCCCCCAATGATTTCCAGATTGGCCGGTTGGCAGCGGCCTGCATCCAGCGCCTTCCTGCTATCTTTATGAGGTCATAATTATCCACCACCTCGTGGGTGAATGTGCCACGCTGCGCTTGCCGGTACGTGAACTTGATTCCAGAATCTATCACTACGGTACTGCTGGAACCATAGTGTTAACTCCACTCTAGGATATGATGGATAGGATTTCCACTCTTCTCGTGGAAATTGTGAGAGGCGACTAAGGGACAAATATTCAAACATCAGGCCTCTCCAACCCGTTTGACCAGTGTGGGAAGTATGGGCCAAATTTTAAGTTTGTTTCTGGTAAATTAGGGAGTCGTGCTCCTGTAGTGGATACTAAATGACCATAATACGATGATAATGACTTCACTGCGGATCAGAGAAAAGATAATTTTATTTTTATCCCTTTCCCCCTCTGCAAATAACTGCTGTCCTATCCCGAAGGACGTCTGGAAGAGGTCGCTAAACTGCTACTTTTGATGTCCCAAACATAGTAGGTACTTAATTTGTTAAACTTTACCCAAAGATTACCATGGTGTGTGATCTAGTAAAGCCTGGTCCGTGAGCACGTAGAATTTTGTCTAATGACCCCAAGCTACCCATCCTTATCGCTCGCGCGTAATTATATTGCTGTCGCGACTGTGCGACGCGCGCCCGCAGTGAGTGTGCGAGCAGGCTTTAGTACCTAATAAGTATGATAAAATAAGTAGGCTTACGATATTTCTATAAGTATTTATAAAAATCCATAAACATAGATTTATGTTTTGTTTTATTCAGCCAAATCAATAAAATTGTAAGTATTTTCATTGTTATCGAAATGTTGAGTAACGCATGCGTGAATAAATTATAGTGAAATGAAAATATTTCATCTGAATCGCTCGTTGCTTGTGTATTATATTTACTTTATTTATAATGCATTATGTGCTGTAAGTATTAATTTGTACCCTATGTAGACCTACTTTGACTACAAAATACAATCATACTTAGGTATAGCCATAGGTACCTACTTCACTAATTAATTACCCTCTGCTCGGGTAAGAAAGCAAAGTCCTTACAACAGCCACCACAAAAAACAGTTTTTCCTTCCTATCCTGTTATCATCATTCTTACAATGGATAACATGAGCTATAAATAAAGCCTACATTACAGCCTCAACAACCAGAAATCAACGACCAGTATGAAAACTCGACCAAAACCGACGTCATCACCATACTACCAGAAGAAAAGCCTATAACAATCGAAGAAAATGAAATAGTAACTCCAATGAACGAATCAAGTCGGCGAGCAGATCTGATTATTGTACCCGAAACACTTACTCAGAAGTTGTGCAAAATAATAACCAAACCTTTCGTTAACTTCGTTGCAACCCCCAAAGTGAACTCTGTCCTTCGGAACATAGGGACGTGCATCGTAAATGGTGCTATGGAATTGATCACCTATTATTTTCCAGCGCCACTTATACCACTTATAGCTACTGCAGCAGGCATGGTGATACCATTCGAACCAGTAGTGATGTTGCGAGAGAAAATGCCCGTGACCAGCTATAGAAGAGCTTTTAGGACAGCTTTGAACAGCTTTTTAAGCACTTTTGATAGGTATAGGCTGGATGATGAGGAAGATGATCCTTATATGACTAGAAGGTTTAATAGGAGACTCATGAACGATTCTGGGGAGAAGACTGTGACTAATAATAAGTTGTGAATCACATTAAAGGTTACAAAATATTTTATACTTTTATTGGAACTGTTGACCGAATAGTTTACAAAATTCTTAAAAACATCTTATGACACAAGGCAAGGTGAAGTTAGAGTGGGCATTATGAATTTAAATAAAAACAAAAAAGGTCTTGTAACAAAATACAGCAAAGCAAAGTAGGAACCAAAGGAATTCCTAATCCCATCTATGATTTTTGGATCACATAGGTTTACAATCAGATGAGTGCTAAGTATTCAATAGCTTTGGTAATACCTACCTATTTAAGTGAAACTTTCGTATAATTTTTAACTTATTTAGTCCAAAAAAGTAGTCATAGTTACAACTCCAAAGAACGGGCAAAAGAATGACGTTTTCGCGATAGTTCGAGTACCATTTGACGCTCTCAAAATATTAGTACTTGGTATAGACTTAAGCCTCTTTCTTCTTTTGGGCAGCCTTTTAGTAACTGTGCTGTTTTGTTTACTAACATTTCTATTTGTTGCTGTAACAATTTCTGTGTCATTCTTCACATCAGATGGTGTTTCTGACTTTCTCAAATTCTTTTCGACTTCTTCAAAACCACTCCAATAATGTCGGAAGCCATTATGGTCAATAAACACCCGTTTTGTCGGAAAATCAGTACTGTCACGTCTCATCATAAAGTTGCGGAAATAGTCTTCGACTTTGTGCAATGTTGGCCTTAGAACGTTGTATTTTTCATGGTTAAATTTGACTTCTCCGACCTTTTGGAGGTCGATGTGTTGCGGGAATTGTGCTGATATTAAGTGTAACTGGAAATCAAAAATGTATCGATAAAGGTTTTGACTTAATTTTAATATACCAAGAGTAAAAAAAAGATGTAATAAATACCTTGGACAATAGAAAAGGAAGAAGAAATGCAATCATTTCTCACAAGCTACAAACATTTTATGCATGAAAAAAGGTATGTTATTTCAATCAAAGATTAATCTTCAGAGTTAATTGAGCAAATAGAAAACTGATCAAGAGAAAGAAATGGAAGATCAAGGTAAATGATACAACAAGAATAATTTTACTTAAATATATTTGCAACATATTCTTACTAAAGCGTAAAACGAGACAGCTCCCCCAAACATTCCATGTCATTAGCAAAATAATATTCGATGGCTATTAATCATTAAATTATAGAATATACCAGGTCCAATCACACTCAAAAGTGTCTTTATAAAATTCCAGACAATATCTGGAATTATTCCAGGTATCACAGAGCTCTTTACACGAGACGTTTTGCAGGGAAACCACCAAGTACCGACGACTGCTGTATTCTTATGAATCTGCTGATTTTTTATCACGAAAGTCAGCATAAATGCCAAAATCGTCAGGTGTAAAAAACTGCGATGAATCTACAGAATATACAGTTGGATAACTTTTATACAATTTGCTAAAACATTTTTTCCCCAAAACAAAATAGTTGACAATAAACAAAAAATCAACGCATACAAAAAACTTAAAGCATGATTTCGCCATCAACAAAAATTATAACAAATCTGTCGAATAACCAACCCATTTACGTCTCGCCATTCGGTTCAATTGCATCGCCAGTAACAACTAACATTAGTAAAAGTGCATCGTGTTTAATGAGGTGTTCACGGCAACAATCAGTATTGTCCCTTTTTGATATGAATTTAAGTCTGTTTTCATTCATTTTCACCAAGGTCTTTTCATATCTTTATTAACCAAATAACACACAATTAAATAATTTGCGTGGTATTAATGACATTTTTTGAAAGAAATTGAATTAGTTTAATCACTTATTTCCCGACCAAAACCAAAGAAAACAGACTGCAAATAAACGGAACTCTCAATCAGATTCCGTAATAATGAATATTATATGGAATTTTCCTGGAATTTCTGGAATTCATAAAAAATGTTTTTTTTTCAATTATCATGATATAAAATACAGTATTCTATTTATGAATGAGTACACAATAAACTAGTTATTTCCCTGGTTTACTCTTGATTGTTCTAGGAACTATAGGCGATAACACGCGTTTTGTGAGATTACGACTATAATCTAATTAATATAAAAATATTTCATTAACATAAATAATAATTATGCGATTTATTATTGGCTTATACCATTATAAGCAATACTTGTGACGAAATTAATTGAAAATGTGTATTTATTTATGAGTCTAGTTGGTTACAAGGGTTCTAAAGGCTGGTGTACACTCTACGATGCGAGTTTATTATTAATATTTTAGGAATTTCGAAATATTTCATACACGTTAGGCATATTTTAGAGACTAATATAATATTTTTACAAATAGGACTTGTTGCATGCGAGTGTAACACCAGCTGGGAGATTACAATATATTATATGACTGATTTTTAGCTGGGTCTGTTTGAAATAGTGGGAATTTTTTGTCAATTTCTCGTATTTTTCTACCTTTAAAACCGACTCAGCTAAATTCAGGCTAGTGCTTCAGGCAAAGTAACTTCGCTTCGAAATAGCATATTTTGATTGTTAGTTTGTATCAACAAAGACACAAAATTGAATATTATTGAACTTAGTTTCTATTATTTTGTCATTTTCTGTATTTTGGGATCTATTTTTTTTATCAAAATAATGCTATTGAATTCGATCTGATTTGAATTCACTGTTTTTGCTACTCAGTTTCTTAAACCCTGTTATTTTATATTTTAAGACTTGTAGTTTAGAATAATAATATTGTCACTTTTAATAAATTGTTAAAATAGTTTTTATAGGTATTATTGCTTTGACATATCTTCGATAACGAATGTTACTTTGCCTACAAGTCTGTATTTACATGACTTGTCATAAAAATACTAGAACTAAACCATCTTGATACTTTTATGACAGCCGTTGACTAGTAATCTGGTGGATATGTCATTATTTTACAATATTATGTTATGTATCTAAGTTCAGTGGGTAAAATCTATATTCTATTATTATGTATCATTAAAATTACAGTTTTACATATTACGGTCTTGCCATTTTCACATACAAATTAATAGCAAACGAATGTTAAGACTAGAAAATTTATAACCTAAAAATTCAGTCAAGTTGTTGTACACTAAGCGTGAAAATCAAGCTATGTAATAAAAGTGGGCGATCAGAAAATTGAGTTACAAAAGAGTAAAATTTAATTTAATTTAACCAACGTTTTAGAAAAATATCAGAGACAAAGATCGTTTCGAAAATTTCCTATTCTCATTAAGCTCTTGAAATGAAATGATAATATAAAACTACTATATCTATATTTTAGAAAGGAAGAACTTTATGCAACACGCTTTTTTTCCAAAAAAATAGAAATCGTTTATTTACATTAACAATTTATTATTAAAAAGTCGAACAGTAATGCTAAGAATTATATTGCAAGAGTTCATAAGTCAAAGTGTCGAATTTATATTTTTACATACACATAAATATGAAAAAATATACTCTATTTGAATTGCTATTTAAGTAGTTCCTTGAGACAGCAATTTCCATTTATGAAAATATAATTAATATTTATATTACAAATATTTACAATGAATGAGTAAGATGAATACTGATAAAAAAGAACACTGGAATTAACATTAATTAATAATTAAATGGTAGCAAAATTTAATGGATAGTCTGATGCTAATCTCAGCCATTCTTTTATGTCACAGTACCAAAGTGGTACTAAACTATTTAAATTTTTTGACAGTAGGATAGTGAACTTAACTGTCAAAATTCTTTATACACTTCAGAATCAGCCCCAATGCGTTAGCTGATATTTACCAAATTCTACTTTACATTAAACCTATCATATTATAATACTATCACACTTTTTAGAAATGAAACTGATTAGCAAATCATCGGAAGACAGCGTCTCTTTATTTAATAAGAGATTACTGCTTAAAAGAATGAGTTTGACTAAACCTAGCCAAAGATTGAAAAAATACAGAATATCCACTTGACTCACATGGGCATTATGTACATACATACTTATATTAACCGATGAGACTTAGATAGTTGACAGTTTGACACCATAAAACTCCTGAAAATTTAGTTTCCATATGTCCAATGTCAATCTGTAGTATTTAAACTTTTAATTAAAGTAATGCGAATTTAAGAAAATTATCACCTAATCTGTTTACACACAATATTTACAGCATCATTCACGGAGTCAATCCATTTTTTTAAATATCCAATGATTCATTTATTTGATTTTAGTGCCACAACGTTTGTGTCACAAATTCACTGATTGCACAGAATTCCAGTTGTAAAAGTCTCTGCCTTCGTTGTCAAAGATTATAGCAGTACAGACGTGACAGACATTTTAACCTATTTTTTTACATTTTAAGAGCATTTAGAATGTAAATTGTTAAAATTAAAATGTCTATCCCTTGTTGTTGTTTAGTAAAGACTCTTTTATACGATTTTACGTACGTTTTGAATTTACACCCGTGTAAAAGAGGTTATACTAAATTTTTATGAATATAAAGGCACATTACACGTAAATGTTTGGCGTAGGAACGTTTACTATTGCTTTACATGATAAGAATGGCAGATTTGTACATCACATCAGGTGATTTGGTAAACTGTGTTCTTTAGTGCTATATTTAAGAGCGAAATTAGTATGTACAATCGTTTCATACGGGGTGTCGAATCCATGTTGTTACCCTTCAGATATGTTTTATTAAATATAATGTGAGTTTACCTAATAAGCATTAATTGAATGACATTATTATAAAATATTATATTGTACAAAAATGTTATTTAATTCGTATATTTTTGGCATTAATTCGCTAACTTACTTTATATCAATGTACAGAGACAAAAATATACACAATTAAATGTACATTGGTGAAACGTCGGGTTTTTTTACTGAATTTTTACAATGATTTGATGAAATAACTTTTCCATTTTCACCCCGTATAGAATTATATTCCAAAATGCGAAGATTTAAAAATCGTGGCGCTTTCAAAAGTGTAGCCAAATTCTAAGATCTTAATCGTAATAGACAAGAAGTTAATGTCTATGCACATGCCAAAATCAGACTTATCATTTAATCATAAGGTACGAATTAGCCTGGCATTTTAAATGAATTTGTTTTTATAAGATTTTTTAGTTTAGTGAAAATGGAGTTTTATAATATTTTCTTATAGAAACAAATTCATTACACTAACCACAAGAATAACAAATTATGAAAATTGCATCAGATTTGGCTGTCAACTTTTAAGTTTAAGATATTTATTTAAACTTTTAGAACCTGTACTTGACCACTTACTGTGTGTAGTGCGATTTTGCATTGAACGTAGTGGCTAGCTAAATCTTTGAAGATTTTAGTTCTTGAAACTATCTGCTAAGGACGCTGTACAATCTATTATACATTTAACAGGGTTCGAAAATATCCGATATTTATTATAAATATCAAAATATCGGATATTTATGATATATATCCGATATATATCAACTTTGATATATATCAATTTTGTATGAAAGCCATAGTATTATTTTATTGTATTATTCATGAATACTATTGCATATGTGTTACATAAACATGTTTTTAAAACTTAAAATCAGACAAATAAAGCAAAAACATAAAATATCTTTGAAATACGGCAAAATCAACAAAAAAATTAAAAATCTTATGTCAAAAAGTACAAATACAGTAACAAATTTTAAAAGTTGATATATCAACAAAACCGGCTTGATATATATCGGATATATATCCGATATATATCTTGATATATATCCCTTGATATATATCCTCGAACCCTGACATTTAATGTCATTTTTTTACGCAGTCGCTAGAGTCTCAGCCATAGGACGTCCACTGCTGAACATAGGCCTCCCCCAATGCTTTCCATGTTGCCCGGTTGGTAGCGGCCTGCGTCCAGCGCCTTCCTGCTACCTTTACGATGTCGTCGGTCCACCTTGTGGGTGCAACCGTCATCGCTAGTAACGTTTGATGTAAACTCGCACTAAGTCCGCCAAAGTTTCACAATGTTACTTACTTCACGTCAAAATTTCCAGATCTTTTAAATATCTTCAAACTCACCAGCTGACAGCCACCCAACACTAATGCCCGTTTTCACTATCAATCCCTAATTTTAAGTGACCCCTATGAAAAAACAATCTAGTTATGTGTCACTTAAAAATTAGGGACTGATGGTGAAAACGGGCATAAGTCCTTTACTTTTAAATCTTCAACACTTATTGGGCACTTTGGATCCGAACTCGTGCAATATATCACACGCCATTTCGAGGTCGTTTCGAGTGATGCCAAGAGCGCGCACGACTATTTCCTTTGGGTAACCCTCGCCGACCAAACGCGCTATGTAGTCCAGGTTTATGTTCTCGTAGGAGACATTGTCGCCGTACTTTCTGCCGTGCTTGTCGTGGGTTAGCGGGTTGAACTTTTTTGCTGGAAAGAAGAGATAAGATGTTAGTGAATATTATCATCATCATTGACAGTCCACTGCTGGACTATGAGCCTCCTCCACTATGGTGGAGGGTTTTGCCATAATCCCCACGCTTGGCAGGCGGGTTGGATATCGCAGTTTCAAATTGATGTTTTTCAGAGAGCGCTGCTGCCCGTTCTCTGTTTGATGTGTAGTCCCTAAGTCGCCTCTTACGACACGCGGTAAGAGTAGGGGTTGGTGACAAATGTATTCTACTGCCGTCACCACACGGCTTGCGATAACTTATGAAGTATGGAATACAAAGGATTTATTGATTGGAAGAAAATTACAGAGTTTTCTTGTCAAACTGGGAAGAGTAGAACAATCTTTTCAATTTGTTGTAATTTCACTTTTAAATTTTACTGATGTTAACAACGACAAGTTTATATTGTACCTATTATAGTACAAGTTCGAGTGGTGTTCCTTGCATAGACCTTTACAAATCTTTCATCTCGTTTATTCGAGGCATTACAGTGCACCAAAAGTAAATACTTCTCATCCATTTCAAATTTCTGAGTTTATTTGCAGGACAACATAAAAATATGTAAATCTCTACAAGCTATGTGATAAAACTATTTAAAATCACCTATCGGCTCAACTATAACATAATGCTTTTTGCGAAGAATTGCCAAATAAACATTAGTGACTACAAATGAATACTTACGCCCAACAGCCAATTCGTTCTTCTCCACGCTGACATTTTCATACGGAGGATCTTTCGCATCCTCTGAAGGGAATTTGGGCATCGTCGTCGACTTCGTGGGCTGATGGTCCACACTCCCACTGGTGGTCGAAGGCAGCGACCTTTGTCGCGGCGGCGCGCGATTCTCAACCCTATCCCTATCGAAACTAGATCTATCCACCCGGTCAGGCCTTTCTGGGGGATGCCGCAACTCCACGTTGTGTCTCTCACTCGAAGCATTCCTTTCTCCGAATATTCTGTCATTCGAAAATCGACTCTCGCTAGCTTGTATTCGTTCTAAGTTGATCCTATTTTCGGGTAACAGTAAATGCCTTTCTGGGCGGTCTAGTCTATCTGGGGTGACGAGTCTGCTGTCTGAAACGCTAGGGGTGATCGCTTGCCTACATTCTAGATTGGCTAAGAGATGTTCTGTTTTGCTAATGGTCCTGTTTTCTATGGGGTTAGGCAAGGGTCTGTATTCGGGGGTGTGTCTGTCAGTAGGTCTTTCTATGTGGTGGTTTCTGTCGGGTCGGTCGGTGGGTTGGTCGTCGGAGGGGTGTCTTTCGGGGGGCGGCGCGGGGAGGGGTCGGCTCCCCGATTGGGGGGTGCAGGCCCGACGGGGTTTTTCGAACGCTCGGGGGTCTGGTGGCACCTGAAAGTGGAACGAATTGTTGTTATTTCGAAATATACTTTAGAGACAAATATACGAGTTCGTTCGTTCGTTTCAGCCAAATGACGTCCACTGCTGGACAAAGGCCTCCCCCAAGGTTTTCCACAAATATACGAGTACTTTATGCAAATACTTTCTCAATCATTCACAGATGTTTTTTTTTTAAATAAACAGGACGTCCACTGTTGAACATAGGCCTCCCCCTATGATTTCTATATTGACCGGCTAGTAGCGGCCCAGCACTTTCCTGCTACCCTTATGAGGTCGTCTATCCACCTTGAGGTAGGAGGTCCTATAGTCAACATATGACTCACTTCATGTCCTGTGTCAATGATTCAAATTCGGAGCATAAGTACTCAATACAAACAAAGAAACGATAATACATCTTTATCTATAAATATTAGTGAAGATAACTCACTTCATGTCTCGTGTCGATGATCCCCGTAATGGTTTCCGTGGAGCCGGTGATGAAGGAAGTCAGCCGGTGCCTTGAATCCGGTTCGGGCTCCAACGACGACCGCCTCCTTGGTTCCGCTGTGGAGAATGGTATGTTTAAATCTTAGTTTTATGATATTTCCAACCTCTTTTATACTCTTCTTAAAAGTTCGTTGTGGGTTTCAAAACATAAAAATGCATAGGTATAAGATTTTCTGCAAATAGTGTTTTAAAATCGTTCTTACGTCCCAGCCTTACTTTAACCCCACCACTGCTACGGGACGATAAATGGACCAGTGTGCTGAGAAGAAACGGCGCAAGAGACTAATGCCCGTTTTCACCATCAATCTCTAAATTTTAAGTGACCTCTATGAAAACTAAATTACAACTGACTTAAAAATTAGGGATTGATGATGAAAACGGGCGAGTTACACAGTACCTAAGCTTTCTCTTGTCAAACTTTACTGGTTGGATCTCATTTCTCGTTGCTTCTCATTGGAGGCCAAGAAGTTCCTCTTACGCAATCACTTGGAGCGCAGTCCCATAATAACTTACATTGTATAGTATGAGCTGTAATATTCTGCACACTCGAAGCTGCCACAGACTCTGCCGTGGGGGCAGAGGGGGGGCTCGTAGCTCCCCATATGCGTTCTCATGGGGCGCAGTCCCATACTAACTTACATTGTATAGTATGTGCTGTGATATCCTGCCTGCAAACTAGACGCAGCCAGTTTCTTGCTTGGGAGAAGGGGGGGGGGCAGTCCCATAATAACTTACATTGTATAGTATGCGCTGTAATATCCTGCACGCTCGAAGCCGTCAGTATCGCCGGCGACAGACTCTCCCTTGGACTTCCTAGGGGGCATCTCCCCATAGGCGTTCTCATGGCTTTATCAACTTACATTGTATAGTATGTGCTGTGATATCCTGCATGCAAACTAGACGCAGCCAGTTTCTTGCTTGGGGGAAGGGGGGGCTCACAGATCCCCCAAAATTCGCATTCCAGTCACTTACATTGTATAGTATGCGCTGTAATATCCTGCATGCTAGAAGCGATAGGGGCTTTTCCTTTTTTCCTTGGGGACAGAGGGGGGGGGGGCACCACAGCCCCCCTAGTTTCACACTCCTGTTAACTAGTAACTTACATTGTACAGTATGTGCCGTAATATCCTGCACGCTCGAAGCCGCCAGTATCGCCGGTTCAGCCGGGGACAGACTCTTTCTAGGGGGCAGAGGGGGGGGTCCGTAATAGCTCCCCATATGCGTTCTCATGGGGCGCAGTCCCATAATAACTTAATTATGTAGTATGCGNATCAACTTACATTGTATAGTATGTGCTGTAATATCCTGCACGCTCGAAGCCGCCAGTATCGCTAGTTCAGCCGGGGATAGACTCTTCCTAGGCTTCCTTCATAGGCGTTCTCATGGCTTTAATAACTTACATTGAATAGTATGCGTTGTAATATCCTGCTTACACACTCGACGCAGCCAGTTTCTTCCTTGTAGGCAAGGGGGGGCTTAGTCTCCCAAAATTTACAGTCTAGTCACTTATATTGTATAGTATGTGCTGTAATATCCTGCACGCTAGAAGCGATAGGGGCTTTTCCTGGGGGACAGAGGGGGGGCACCACAGCCCCTCTAGTTTCACACCCCTGTTAACTAGTAACTTACATTGTATAGTATGCGCTGTGATATCCTGCACGCTCGAAGCAGCCAGTATCGCCGGTTCAGCCGGGGAAAGACTCTTCCTAGGTGGCAGAGGGGGGGCCCGCAACTCCCCATAGGCATTCTCATGGGGCGTAGGGGCGGGGGCCCGACGGGCAGCGAGCGGGGAGTGTCGCGGTGACGCGGCTGGGGATCGAACAGACGGCCTGAGACCGTCTATTGTTGACGTCGCTGCGTTGAATTCTGCCCAGTCCTAAAAAGAGATAAAAACTCATAAAACTAATTTATTTCTGTACTTAAATAGGCTTAAAAAAAGCACTTTTACACGTCCCAGTATTAACCCTACCACTGGTTCAGGACAATAAATGGGCCAGTGCTGAGAAGAAGCAGCGCAAGAAACTCAGTCACTATTGTCAGCGAGATATTTTGTAAAATGTATACCAGTGATACCTAGTGGTGGAAGTGATAGACAGGGACAGATAGTGATTGAAGATTTGCAAGCACGTTTTGATATTCTTTCTTTTTATCCACAACGAGGAAGCTCTTGGCCTGTATCTCACCTGATGGTAAGTGATGATCAGACCGAAGGTGGAAGCGAGCTAACTGCCGGAACACAACAATGCTGTTAACATTGTTGTCATGGCGACAGACTTAGGTAAGATTCTAATAAGCAAATGAATGAATAATTTTGATCCTTATGAAATGATTGCATCCATTGGAAATAACCCCCCTAAATAAATAACTAGAAACCACTGGTTTGTATTGGTTAGCTAACAATGTGTTTCAACAAAAATGAAGCCGTATTTATTTATACTTTTGCACAAAAAAACTGTACAGTTGCGGACTTAATTATTTAGTGCATAAAAAAAGATGCAACCTACCTTTGTATTCTGAAGAGATGCGCCACTATAGTGCATTTCAACACACAGTAAACCATGCATAGTGTTGTTCTAGGTATAGAAAATCTGTTTCAACGTGCACGTATAGGCATAAAGTTAATTTTTACATTGAATTTAACTGTAAATAAAGGCAATAAGGTCTAAATATAGTGGCCATAGTATTGCCATTATCTTATGTAAAATGTAGCTAATATTATAATATATGTATAATGTGTGTGTGTGTATCTAAAATGTATCTTTGAATTGAATCTTGAGCGTTGTATCAAAATGCATGATTTAGGTCTATTATTTGGTCTAGGCAAATCTATACTATCAAAAACAAAAAGATAATTAATTTTAGAAGTCAAATAATTGCTTTTCATTCATAATTATTTGTCAAATCTCATTAAAAAACCACAATAAAACAGCCACACAGAAAAAAAAAACACAAAAGCACATATCACCAAGCGTATAATTGTCAACATTCAAAAACTTACAAATAAATAATGAACGAAGTCGGCAAAAATAATAATAATGCAAATAATAAACTAAGCGTAGACAATACTTAACTTAATACAACTTAACTTTAGTTTTGTAAAGTCACAATTAATACTATTGCATTACTTAGTACGTTTTGTGTTACAAGTAGGTAAGGGACACACTTTGCCCATAGACAACTGACCATAGATAAGAAAATAGTCGAGTTTAGTCAATTTTCGACTCTATTTACGTGCAATAAACGTCATATTACTTTGTCACGTTATATTATGACGTCTTATTTTAAGACTCGTATGTCAATCATATTCATTGAAAGGCCATTTTGTAAAGACAGAGCCGCTTGCTAGTCACTTTTGACATATTTGATCGCTATGACCGAAGCGATTTCAAAAATAATGTCTAGAGGGGCATCAATTTGTATGGAGAAGGTAATTCATTGTTTGAAATTTAAATGTAGATCTCATACAAAAATTGAGGCATTTAACAAATCAGATTTTTTGGCACTTACCTACATTTTTAAAATCTTGTGTGACCCTATACCTACTTGTAAATGTTCAATATATTTCAATTTAATATTATTTTGTATAAATTAGACCTATCATTTCATTAATTACCTAATACTACTGTTTAGAACGAGACTATTTTGAAATATAAACTAGAAAATAAATATAAATTTTCAGTCAATCATATTCGTCAAATATTATACAAATAAATCTACAAGACTGAATTAAATTGAATTAAGTCTTAGAATATGTAAAAAAAACTGTTTAATTTCCTATTTTACTTTGAACTAAAATTATTACGATATTATTACTGTTAAATAAATAATATTTACAATTTAAGTAACAAAAATTAATGTGAAAAAGAAACAAACTGAAAACCTATGGAAGTAAAAAATAATTATACTTAAATGATAAGACTTTGTTTAACTTGTAGAAATTTTTGTGCGTAAATAAGAATATAATCTTTAAATGGTTTATTCATTTTAATTTGTGATGATGAAACACGATAAATCCACATAATGGCGTTAAGAAGAAAATGAAAATAACAAATAAAGAATAATTATAGGATACTTCTTATGTAAAAAGCTTTGTTTAAAAACATCTAAATTAATTCGAATGGAAGAGATCACTCAAAAACCATTAAAATTTACAACATACAATTTTATATATTGATTAGAATTTGATAATAGATCATTTTTATTATAAGTACATTTAGCCATTCAAAAATGGGCCCTAAATATCAATATAATAAAACACATTGTTAATATAATGTTCAAATATTACAATGTATTTCTGTAATTGTCATATTTAATACTTTATTTGCCGTTTTAAGTTTATTTTCTCCCTTTTGAATTCATTCAAACAAAATTAAATATTAAATAAGCCAGCATACAAAACAAAACCATATAAAAACAAAACGTAAGCCCGTTGTTTTGGATAACACGGTTGTAACAACATCAAACATAAAAATAACTCAAAGCAAAAACGTATGTACAGTCAAAAGCATAAATTCAAATATTATTATAAGTCAGCATTATCATTCGTCATAACGTGAACCGAGAATTTAATGCCCGTTTTCACCATCAATCCCTATTTTTTGATCCCCTCTGAAAACCAAATTCCTATATGTGTTACCATAGGGGTCACTTAAAAAATATGGATTGATTGTGAAAACGGGCATAAGGCAGGCAGATTTTTTAAAATAACCAATAAAAAAATCTACACTAATATCTGCTATCGATTTAAAATAATTTAAATTACTTCAATATTCAGCTCATTTTGATATTTTAATAATCCTGTTGACTGTACCAACACAAAATAAGGAATTTGTATCACACAATGTTACGTAGTGCAGTCATGATCATAGAGTCATACAACATAGCGAAGGAATGTGACCGTTGTGACTGCGTCATACAATAGCGTCAATAATGATTCCGTGCAAACTAAGCATGCGGTGACTTTCTCTGGTGCCTCTGGAAAACAAACAACACACTTTAAAGGATGGGCTACATGCATTGGTCGATGCATTGGTCGGTTGACGTCTTATTTACATTATAGCACTATAAAATGGGTTTGGATATTACCAGTATTTGGTAAAACGTGTATTTACTATACCAGATAGAGAAAGCATTCTACGTGCGTCTCTTTCTACGTGCTACGAACTGTCAAAATAGCTCTTAGGGGTGATTTTTCAATTGTCGGACAACTTTTAACTGAAGAATAAAACTGACACTTTGACATTGTTCCCATACTGAAACTGTCAATGTGCCAAACTTACTCTTCAGTTAAAAGTTAACCAGCGTATGAAAAATCAGCCTAAGGGCTGTATCAATGAGGTATTTGATATCACCAGTTGGCGCTACTTTATTTGTCACTGGCAAGTGACAGGATCTTATTTGCCAGTGGCTGAAGCTGTAAGATGACTATTTGCAGTCACCAGTTGGCGCCACTATAGAGTAAGGTCTTGTCAATTGTTAGTGGCGCCAATTAGTTAGTCTGTTTTCAAACTTAATAGCAAACTAACGAAAAAGAACCAAATTTTCATAGATAATTTAAAATTGACATTAGTCTGTGAATAGTCAGTCCAGTTTAAGATACTTTTAGTCAACAATTTTTCTGTAGATCTGACCGATAGATGATAAAAAATATTGACAGAAAAAAGTAAATAAGTTTCAAGCGACCATGACAAATGAAGGCAAAATACAAATGATAAAAGCATTTTGAAACACCCAAAAACTGGCAACACAAAAACCAGACATGCCACACGCAGCGGGCATAAAATGCAAACCATGCTTCGTTGAAAACTATTTCATTATCTTTTAATTAGAAAAATTAATTAGTTTTAAAGAAGTCATCAGGTCATTTAGTCCACTGCAGGAGCCTCTCTTTTTACTACGGGAATATTCCCACCTCTCGTTCCCACCGCTGCAACTCCTGTGTAGTGAACCAGTGAAGGTCAAGTTTGTCCCGGGGGAAAGTTAAACTGTCATTGGACCCGCAACGAAATTAATTACTAGAGGCAAATGGAGGATTTGGCCAGACAGGTTAGGGAGCCCGTGAATTATGTTTGAAATACTAAAGCCTGGTCCGTGAGCACGTAGAATTTTGTCTAATGACCCAAAGCTGCCCATCCTTATCGCTCGCGCGTAATTATGTTGCTGTCGCGCTCGCACACTCACTGCGGGCGCCCGTCGCACAGTCGCGACAGCAATATAATTACGCGCGAGCGATAAGGATGGGTAGCTTGGGGTCATCATCAACAGCCCTTTACAGTCCATTGCTGGACTATGAGCCTCCTCCACTATAGTGGAGGGTTTTGCCATAATCTCCACGCTTGGCAGGCGGGTTGGAGATCGCAGTTTAAAAGATTGATGTTTTTCAGAGAGCGCTGCTGCCCATTCTCTGTTTGATGTGTAGTCCCTAAGTCGCCTCTTACGACACCCGCGGGAAGAGTAGGGGTTGGTGACAAATGTATTCTACTCTGCCGTCACCACACGGCTTATGTCATTGGACAAAATTCTACGTGCTCACGGACCAGGCTTTAGTAGGCAATATTTAACTTCTATATTTTTGTCTATGAAACCTACTGCATCTAAGAATAATACCTTATTTGAAAATGAACTCTGCTGCCAAGAATATAAGCGTCAAATTACCTCAGCATCGTCGATGTCATCAGTCAGGCCGTTGAAGGTAGTATTTCTAGAAGACCACCCATTTGAATTGCTAGAAATTGTCACTTCTGCACCTGAAAACGCAGTTGGAAAAGTTCTGTCACTCGAAATTGCAAAATGGTCTTTAAAATTAGGAGCACAGAGTTCAATTTCGGAACTCATCGTCATCATTTACTTTGCTTCATGCTAGTAACAAAATAATTACATAGACCCGTAACATAAGTCCTATTACTACAATTAAATTTAAGTTTGTACAAACGGCTTCATAATACAGTCGTTGTAAGTCACTCTGTCCCATATATTGCCGATATAATTTGAACCTTATCAACTTAGTATAAGGTCGAAAACTAATCTATACTAATATTATAAATGCGAAAGTAACTCTGTCTGTCTGTCTCGCTTTCACGCCTAAACCACTGAACCGATTTTGATGAAATTTGGTAGGGAGATAGTTTGAGTCCCAAGAAAGGACATAGGATAGTTTTTATCCCGGTTTTTGAAACAGGGACGCGCGCGATAAAGTTTTTCTGTGACAGACAAAATTTCACGCGGGCGAAGCCGCGGACGGAAAGCTAGTAAAAAAATAATGTCACTTACTTGATCCATTGCACCCTGAAGAGCCAGAGGAACCGGATGAATTTGACGATACAGCTTTGACTGCAGTCTTCGTGTTTCTGAAACAAACAAAGTACAAATTAATATAATAATAAATATCCTTGGACATTTTACACTGCGCCGTTAGCCCCAAACTAAGCAAAGCTTGTACTATGGGTACTAGACAACGGATATAAACATACTTAAATACTTTTTTTTGTAAATACATACATAGAAAACACCCAGACCCGTCACAGAAATTAAAATTCATCATTTCAATTTCTGCCCGGCCGGGAATCGAACTCGGGACCTCTCGGGCATAGTAGTCCGTTCTGAACCACTACACCAAACGGCCGACATATAAGTAATATGATTGAGTGTAATGTCGTCCATTTCTAGATAAAGACATGCAATTCATTTGACGATTTGCAAGAACTAATTTAATTAGTCTAAACCAGTGTTTTTCAACCTGTGGGTCGCGACACCCTGGGGGGTCGCCAAGCCTCTATAGGGGGGTCGCGAGAGGTTGAAAAACTTCCTCAGTAAAAAAACAGTAAAGTTTAAAGATATATTTATTCGAAATCCAATTATGCAAATGCATAAATGTTGTATGTATTTAAATATTCGATTCCTACAACATATTTGAAACATCATAAATGACATGAAAAAAAGCGAGCGGTCGGGGGGTCGCAATACATTTTTTCATACTAGGGGGGTCGCGTCATGAAAAAGGTTGAAAAACACTGGTCTAAACAAATAAAGAAAATTTTGATTTTGATTTTGAAAGGCCTCCCCCAAGGATTTCCACAATGACCGTTCCTGCGCTGCTCGCATCTAGGTGTTTCCCGCAACCTTCACGACATCATCGGTCCACCTAGGGACCCTGGAGTCGTATGATGATGATGATGATGATGAAGACTTACTTGGCGTCCTGCGGCGGCGGACGAGGCGGCACAAAGGCGTCGACCACGACCTGTTCCGTGCCCTTTATCTCCGCTCGGCAGAACGGGCAGCCCTGGCCTTCTGAGTCCTGTAAAATACGGAATACTGTTAATATTGACAATTATACAAAATATACAAAATCTTTATTTGTGAATCATAGGTAAAATGGTGACATGTAACATGTATATCTATCGAGTTCTCAAGGCATCGACGTTTTTATTGTCGACCAGAAAGAACACTAGGATAGAAGTCAAGACGTGAACAATTTACCTTTAAAACTATTTTTAAACTATTTTTCTTTCTTTCTTGAACAATTTGAGAAGTTATCGTCCAAATTTTTATTTTTATGCTGAAAGTGTGACGTCACAAGTGCATATTTTGATTGTTGTAGTTTTACTTAGTGTTTTACTATAGTGTGATTCGCGCCTATGAGCATAGGATGTGCGCTACGACAATTTTTAATCGGGCCATTTTATTGATCTTACGTGATAAACCCATACATTTGTCGATAAGATTTTATCACGGAACGCATCCTCGCCAGACTGAAATGTGGTGTATAAACTACGTTACTTACAATCTGCCAAGCGGTGAGACAGGGAGTGCACAGCAAATGTCCGCACGGCTCTATTCTGATGTCCTTGTCGTTCTCTGCGCAGATTTTGCACAGCTGGAACGTGCTACCTGGAATTTGAATAAAGAAATTATAAATAGATATAACACACTTTATTACTACTGTACTACCAGCAACAGTGTTAACTACCCACCCATTGACGATCATGTCGTCTCGTTCTATCGCAAAGAATCACCATTTGATCATTTGAGAGAGAGCAAAAATGGAAATGTAAATAGTATACCACACAAAATAGCAATAATAATTTTTCGTTAATTAAAAACATACTAATTTGTGGAATACAAAAATATCTAATCGTTACTTTTAACATGTTATCTGTGTTTGTACAAAACACAGTACTTCAATTTAGCGCATAACTTGATACAAGCAAGATACAATCCTGAAGCACATCCAGGGGCGTAGTGTGATTTTACGTCAAACGCATTCGATGAAGATTGTAGTTTCTTGAAAGTTTCCGCTAAGGGCGCTGTACAATCCGTCATACATTTAATGTCATTTTTTTACGCAGTCACTTGTGAAGACCTTTGATGTAGTTATACGCTAGATGTATACAATTCAACGAAGTTCCCCAACAGATTTTGAACTTTATTTCTTTGGAATAAGGTTTAAGGTTACAAACCCATTTCGCAATACAGCTCGTACTGCTCCTGCGTGACTGTGATGTGATCCTCCGCCGGCGATATGATCGCGCTGCTGAGGTCTGGGTTCACATCCCGCCCGTCTGGATATAGGTAGCTGGAAATTATAAAGGCGAATATTAGTGCTTAAAATTCAAATTCATTTATTTGCACAGAAATATGGTTCAATACAGAAATACTAAGTAATAAGCGGACCAGACACGAATCGGTAATAATGACAATACGTTGAAGTATAACCTCAATGGATGCAGGCCGCTACCAACCTTCCTCCCCTTGGTGGTGGCGCCTCCTCCGGCATTGCACAGGCTACCACCGCCGTCGGACGGGATTGGCCTCGTGGTCCCGGCTAATCCTGTCGGCCCCCCATTAAGTAGGGGCGTGTTGGGTCCCGCCGTGTAGGGCGGGACATCCGCGGAAGGCGCCTTGGTCGTTTCTAGTACCCCAAGGCGCCGACCACTATGCGGCAGAGGGAACACCCCAGGTTTTTAGTGGGTTCGATCCCACATAACCTGCCGTCTCCGGGCGGTAGGTATGGATAGGCCATTTTCCTGGGTAAAAAAAAGGCCGCTGCCAACCGGGCGATGTAGAAATCATTGGGGGAGGCCTAAGTTCAGCAGTGGATGTCCTGTGGCTAAAATGATGACGATTAAAGTATGTCATTAATACTGACCATGTGGTGGATGGAATAGAAATGAAGGAGTGACCGTTTTATAGTGTGACAAAGTTATTTATATTTTTATATATGGAGAGATTTATTTATCCATAAATGGCATTGTAGTCCAATAAAATTACATTTATTCAACTACAGTAGGTTATTTACATTTCCTCCAATAATTTAATCTTAGAGGTATGAATGTAGAATTTCGAGTTTTGTTTCACACTCATTGAATTAACATAAACACACTCAACAATATTGCACAACTGTATGTTTATTCATGTCACATCTGCATAAGATATCTGCATCGCAATCCGATGGTGATTCATAACGATATAATTATGTATTGTATAAGTATGTGTGTCCATTTATGGCCCAATTGCGAGGTTACCTGAGTCATGGGCCAATAATGGGCAGCGAGAAATGTGTAGCATTTGGTTTGAAGCTACAAGATAATACGTTAAATAATTATGTAAAATGTGTGCAATTGTTTATACTTGATCAAACAAAAATAATTGCTCTGCTCAAATGAAACCATTTTTTCGAAGGGACAAAGTTCAATGAGGGCTATCGTTTTAGCGCTCACCAGTTAGGGGCCNGAGGTGGGTCCTTATCTTACCTCTAACTGCCGGAACACAACAATGCTGTTAACATTGTTGTTATGGCGACAGACTTAGGTAAGATTCTAATAAGCAAATGAATGAATAATTTTGATCCTTATGAAATGATTGCATCTATTGGAAATAGCCCCCCTAAATAAATATAAATAACTAGAAACCACTGGTTTGTACTGGTTAGCTAACAATGTGTTTCAACTAAAGTTTCAACAAAAATATAGCCGTTTTTTATAAAAAAGATGCAACCTACCTTTGTATTCTGAAGAGATGCGCCACTATAGTGCATTTCAACACACAGTAAACCATGCATAGCATGTTGATATAGGCTTAGAAAATCTGTTTCAACATGCACGTATAGGCATAAAGTTAATTTTTACATTGAATTTAACTGTAAATAAAGGCAATAAGGTCTAAATATAGAGGCCATAGTATTGCCATTATCTTATGTAAAATGTAGCTAATATTATAAAATGTAATGTATGTGATTCTAAAATGCATGATTTAGGTCTATTATTGGTCTAGGTAAATCTATACTATCAAAAACAAAAAGATAATGAATTTTAGAAGTCAAATAATTGCTTTTCATTCATAATTATTTGTCAAATCTCATTAAAAAACCACAATAAAACAGCCACAAAAAAAAAACACAAAAGCACATATCACCAAGCGTATAATTGTCAACATTCAAAAACTTACAAATAAATAATGAACGAAGTCGGCAAAAATAATAATAATGCAAATAATAATCTAAGCGTAGACAATACTTAACTTAATACAACTTAACTTTAGTTTTGTAAAGTCACAATTAATACTATTGCATTACTAAGTTACGGTTTGTGTGTTACAAGTAGGTAAGGGACACACTTTATCCATAGACAACTGACCATAAATCGAGTTTAGTCAAGTTTCGACTCTATTTACGTGCAATAAACATCATATTACTTTATACCGTTATACTATTATGACGTCTCATTTTACTTAATACTCGTATGTCAATAATATTAATTGAAAGGCCATTTTGTAAAGACAGCCGCTTGCTAGTCACTTTTGACATATTTGATCGCTATAACCGAAGCGATTCGATATCGAAATTAATGTCTAAAGGGGCTTCAATTTGTATAAAGAAGCTAATTCATTGTTTGAGATTTATTTATTTATTTCATGTAGGTCTCTGGTAAAAACTATTAAGGATTTAAATAACTCCCATTTCTTGGCATTCAAAGCCATGTGTGACCTTATACCTACTTGTAAATGTTCAATATATTTCAATTTAATATTATTTTGTATAAATTAAACCTATCATTTCATTAATAACCTAATACTACTGTTTAGAACGAGACTATTTTGAAATATAAACTAGAAAATAAATATATTTTTTTTTTTCAGTCAATCATATTCGTCAAATATTATACAAATAAATCTACAAGACTGAATTAAATTTAATTAAGTCTTAGAAATTGTAAAAAAAACCGTTTAATTTCCTATTTTACTTTGAACTAAAATTATTACGATATTATTACTGTTAAATAAATAATATTTACAATTTAAGTAACAAAAGTTAATGTGAAAAAGAAACAAACTGAAAACCTATGGAAGTAAAAAATAATTATACTTAAATGATAGACTTGGTTTAACTTGTAGAAATTTTTGTGCGTAAATAAGAATATAATCTTTAAATGGTTTATTCATTTTAATTTGTGATGATGAAACACGATAAATCCACATAATGGCGTTAAGAAGAAAATGAAAATAACAAATAAAGAATAATTATAGGATACTTATGTAAAAAGCTTTGTTTAAAAACATCTAAATTAATTCGAATGGAAGAGATCACTCAAAAACCATTAAATTTTACAAAATACAATTTTATATATTGATTAGAATTTGATAATAGATTATTTTTATTATAAGTACATTTAGCCATTCAAAAATGGGCCCTAAATATCAATATAAAAAACACATTGTAATTTGTATAATGTTCAAATATTACAATGTATTTCCGTATTGTCATATTTAATACTTTATTTGCCGTTTTAAGTTTATTTTCTCCCTTTTGAATTCATTCAAACAAAATTAAATATTAAATAAGCCAGCATACAAAACAAAACCATAAAAAAACAAAACGTAAGTCCGTTGTTTTGGATAACACGGTTGTAACAACATCAAACATAAAAAATAACTCAAAGCAAAAACGTATGTACAGTCAAAAGCATAAATTCAAATATATTATAAGTCAGCTTTATCAATTTCTATCGATTTAAAATAATTTTAATTACTTCAACATTCAGCTCATTTTGATATTTTAATAATCCTGTTGAATGTACCAACACAAAACAAGGAATTTGTATTACACAATTTTATGTAGTGCAGTCATGATCTATAATATACGACCCATTTTCTATCTTAAAACCAACGCCATAAGATCGAAATCAGATCTGAGAGCAGTTTAAACTTTACATATTAGCCCTTATGGTCATAAGTCTGCACTACGATAGTCAACTTTAATGGGTCATAAATAAATAAGGTTTTATATCGGTCCTTGTTGTGACGCCATAAGATCGAAATTAGATTTGAGAGCATTTGAAACCGGACTTTATACAGGGTGTCCCAAAATTAGCACGTCACACTGACACTGAAAATAGCTGGGCTTAAGACGCATTGAACAAGACTAATATATCGATAGAAAAGTTTAATCAGTTTTGAGATATGACCAATTTTAGTTATTAATGTCCAAACATAACGAATTAAGTTAGCACCCATAACACAAGCATATTAGTTGCTTACTTTGGGGCTACATGGCGCTGTGTGAAATTGTCCAAAGATTTATTATTATAATATTTATTTATTTATTTTATTTATTTATTATTCATTATTGAGCAATTACATATTTGATCCAAATAGCGTCCTAAATCCTTTTTAGGTTTGTCTAGACACAGTATAGAAAAGTTTGATGAGTTTTGAAAAATGTGTGATATTAGTTATTTAAAAAATTGGATATAATAAACTTGTCCGATGCATCTTAGCTCATCTACCTCTGGTGTCAGTGTGACGTTATAATTTTGGGACATCCTGTATTACTAAAATAGTAAGACACGGGTCTTATCGCAGCCGAAACGTCAAGCCGTGAGTACATAATGTAA